AGCGGCGGCAGCCCTTAAATAATAATCATCACAATGACACGAATTTTGGTAACACATCTCCCTGCTACATCATGGCATTCTATTAAGCTTCAAGCGCGCATTTGCGATTCCTCGGTGATGTTGCGAGTGAGAAGGCGACGAACTGTCTCCGTCTCCTCCTGCCGTGCAAACCGCCAAAGCAAGGACATATCTTCAATTACTTGATGTCTTGTGATGAATGAACTAGGCTGTAACCTAGACCACGTTGCATCAAAAAGATATTCTAAATACCATCATTCCACTCAGGCTGCGCAAGAGTTTGCTGCTTGCTAGCGAACAGGATTCCTTGCGAACCGTCTGCTCACGTTCCAGGTCGGAACGTAGCTGCTTCAACTCGTCCTTCATCCCTGCAATGCCTCGTGAAAAGGATGGGGATTTGGGATTTTGGAGGGAATGGATCACTGCAGTAATACCTGCACAGGGCCCATGATGAAAATGCATGAGCCATCCTGCCATTCCCGGCTAAGGATTGGTGAGGATACTGGTGAGAAATCCCCTACCTCTCATCTGACATTCTGGCTCAGGCTGCCGCATGACTGAATGCCTGTCAGCTCATGCCTCAGCAACCACGACTGCAGGAGGCAGCTTCCTGAAAAGATCACCAGGGAGGCAAGTTACTCGTGACTGCATGGTCGGCTTCTTGCGGCCACACAACCCAGCCCGGCAGACATGCTCGGGAGGTGCACAGTGCAAACTGCCACCGAGGTCAGAGCAATGTTTCCCGCACGAACGCAAAGCCGCTTGATGCTTCCTGTAGGCAAAGAAACATCAAGCCCAGAAGCATCCCCTCGGTTTGAGATGAATTCTGCTGCTGTTCGCTGTCACTTGTTACATACCACACAGCCTTACAACCGCATTTCGCAAAACCATTTCGCGTGAGAGGCGCTGTCGGCCTCAGGTGTTGGTTCTTTGGCAGGCACAGGCACCACAGGAATTCCTGGCTGGTGGCAGGAATGGCAGGACTCAAACCAGCAGAACTTCAGCGCGTGGGCAGACTAGACTCTTAATGATCCTGCTTCTTGTGCTCTGCCTCAAGTCACAGCAATCATGTCTTTACAAGCTTGATTCTGCTGGGTGTTTAAAAAACACGCGGCGGGTCCTTCAGAGTCTTGCATTGTGGCTTCCACACCAAGCACACAAGCCAATCGAGATACTCGGAACAAGAAACAGACCGTAACCTCCCACAAACAATCAATGCAATGAAGCCAAAAACCTACATACAGGCACAGCACTCCACGTCTCGGCTTGAGCCAGGGCACGGCGAAGCATGTCTGTTCTTCTCCTACTCAGCCCCTCAGAATAATGTTGGTTCAAGCCTGCACGGCCACATGCCCCTAATCGCCCTAATGCCACGTAGAGTTAAAGTGGGCACTGATTCCGCAGCAATTTCAGCCAAGGCAGATCGCACAGCTTTTCCGAAGTTCAGCAAGTGGAGTTCATCTTCATTCAAGCGATGTGAGGAAAGTCCTGCGCGAACTTTGACTGAGCTCTGCCCACCCTGATTGCCTTCCCGCTCCTCGAACCGCACGGCGTGTTGCCAGCTTTCGCTGCGCAACAAGGAAGCCACAGATACCACATCTGCACGAAAGGGGGATTTTGGTCCAACTGCCGGGGAAGGTCTGTGTCTCAACCCATGCAGTGAGGCCTCACATTCATTTGCAGGTTTGGATCCCGTGCTACAGTACGCGTCTTCAGGAAAGTCTTTGCAAGCGTCCAGCCTATGCCATTGGTGCAATGTTTGATGAGATGGGTGGCGGCATAGCACCCTGACGGGTGGTCGTATCGCTGCTTTCTTGTTACTTCTGCAGGTCATTTGAAACTGCAGAGACTCACGTAAGTTCTAAGTCTGGGACCGGCATGGATGGTGGCGGCTTCATAGAACCCTGGTCGCCATCAAAAGTGTTGCGAGAGCAGAGAGCGTGCGAAGCTTGCAGACACGAAGAACATAACATGCATGTCAGCGCCTGCATACCCATGCTGGCAGCGAGCGGACGATATGATGGCACATTGAAGCCTCAGAATCACGCTGACCCAGCTCGCCGGCGGCAACAGCAAAGCAAAATAGGGCTGCCTAGAACAGAGAAAGCACTTCCCCGAATCTATGCGCAATGATGTTGGCCTTCCTGACCAATTCCCCGAAATGAATGGCACGAGATAGCACAGAAACTGCTAAGAAGAACAAGCATGGCTGCCACTTCAGTACATGCTGAGCTTCCTCGGACTTCCAGAGACTGACGCTGAGGAAGCCCACAAAATTCCAGTAGATTAACTCCACACAAAAACATTAATTGTCGGAGGCCCTTGCACCTGCTCGACATAACCATGTCTTGAATCTCGAATATCTTTCTTTAGCAGTCTCCTGTCGGCCTGCAGCAGACGCCAACACATGGCATATATGCTATAGTAGTTTCCGTGTTCTTTTACATGATCCCTATATTACACCAATATATACCCTAGAACCCCAATATAACCCCTATACAACCCCTATAGAGCCCTAAATAGTAGTTTCCATTATCTTTCCATTATCCCAATACAACCCCTAAACCCTAAACCCTGTGTAACCCCATGACTCCCTCAGGGAGCGGACGTCGGATCTCTTCATGCAAGGCGTCGATGTAGGCAGCCTGAAACTGCCGGCATGCAATCCTGCATGTGGGTTAGTACAGTATTATAGTATATTACAGTATATGATAATCTATTATGGTCTATTACTTATGGTATATTATAGTGCAAAGCAAGCATTTTATTGTTATATTTAATATTGGGGATCTATACAGGTCATATTGGGATAATGCAAAAGAAAATGGAAACTGCTACGGGTTTAGGGTTTAGGTTGTGGGCAAGGAATGGGTGGCTCCCGTATGAGTTCAGTGCATTTCCGGTTTAGGGATCGTGCCTGCTGCTTGTGCGATGCGATGAGGGCCTTCAAGTCCGGACCTGCCTGGCAGCATAGCAAAGCTTCTGCACTGCCAGTCTTATTACCATCGAAACGGCAGTGATGGGCAGGATGGGTACTTTAACTGTTGGTGTGCATGCTCGGACGACCGTTCGAACGATACATATACTTCTTGTGCAGCCTAGCACGACCCCATGTGCGAAGGTCACATGACGGAAGTTCCTACGACTGGTGGCTAGGGTAGCCTCGAACGTGTTCTTTTCAGCAACTGGCAGTCATGGCTGGCGTTAGAACGGAATTCGCCCTCGAGCCGAGTTTTGACTAGTACAACCGTCTTAGATTCGCATTACTGTCTTCTGTCGCATCTCTGGATGAAACTCTCAAGTGACTTTGCAGCTCTGGCAAGATAGACAAAGATCGTGGTGCTGCAAAAGGGCAGAAGTACTCATGCGGAAAGTACAGGTGTGCCGTCTCCTGCTTATTTTGCGCTGAGAACTCCATGTGACTTAGTTCTTCATCAAACATGGAGTTATCATTCTCAAAACTCGTCTGATTTGCAATATTGACAACAATTGTTTCACCTCATGAACACAAAAGCCTGTCATCGGGCCCCTCAAAAGCTGGTCTCACAAATCTGAGAATCCATCGTGTTCTGCTGAAGATAGACGGTAGTTTCCCTAGATAAGGGGGGGGACACCAATATAGACACCAAAATAATGTAATCTTCATTGGGACCCCCAGTGGTACCCCCAATTTTGGGAAACCCCATACGGGGACCCTGGGTAGGATCTTGCTCCCAACTTGGGGATCTCAGCATCTCCCTTATCAGGAAACCCTGCACCTTCAACCCTAAGCCCTAAACCCAAACCCTGCGCCCCAAACCCTAAACTCTGAAACCTGAACTCTGAATCCTAAACCCAACCTTACACTGGAAACCCTGTGGCCTGCGTCTTAACATCCTCCCCGACGAAGATGGAGCAGGTCTGGCGGGTGCCTCGCTGCACCTCAAGGTTCAGGGCTTTCTGGGTTTAGTGATTATTGGTAGTATTGGGGTTAGATTGGGGTTATATAGGGATAATGGAAATAAAATGGAAACTACTCTTTAGGGCTTACTTAGGCTGTCAGGCTTACTGCTAAGGAACGTTTAAGGTTGAGTTACCATACTGGAGAATCAAATGGAAACTGAAATGGAGGCGGCGCTTATACAGGGATTCAAAGAACTTAGACTAAGTTGCTCTAATGTATGGTAAACAATGAGGTTCTTCACCGCAAATTTCAGTTCCTTAACAGCAATCCTGCATGTTCTTGTCACGCCTTCTCGACGCATGAGCCGCAGTACTGGGAGCTAGTCGCCCCAAAGTTAGGGTCTATTGTAGGGTTTCGGATTCTACGTTTAAGTTCCTGGTTCAGGTTCAGGGTTGAGGGTTCAGGGTTTAAAGATTCGAACTAGGGTTTGGGGCTTTGGGGTGCCCCTGAACTGATGGCATCCAGATGCCCTTGGCCCCGCCTATCTTCTATTGGTTTGGAAATGTGTCCACACAGCCAATCCTCTAGCCCGTTGAGGTGGTCGTAATAATTCGTAGTATCGCAGTAGGGTTTAGGGCTTGGAGCTCGGGATTCGAAAACTAGAATCGCACTGACTGCACTGGCTCTAGCCAGACCACCACATGATACTGTTATGGAACGGAGGGCAATCGTTGATTTGCAACAGGAAGCCAGCAGCTATCGGGCGCTGGCCTCTTCTCATCTTTTGAGTGAAGACTAACCAGGCAGATGTCTTCATGTAACCGGGTCCGGGCTCCTCCCAGAACCTTGCTAGCTTGGAAGCTTGACCTAGCACCGAAGAAAAAAAAAAGCCGTAACCTTCATGGCAGCTTTTGAACCAGCAACCTGAACAAGACTGACAACCCATCTCCGGCCTCGAAGGCTGTGCCAATCACGGAGAGGCAGATCTTGGGCCTCTTGGCTCCGGGGACTTGTTGTTATCCCACAGGGTGGGTGTGCTAGGAAAAAAGTAATGTTAGCGGGGGATAGAGCGCCCAGGATTCCCTAACCCTTGTACAATGCAGAGGCTGCCAACCAGAGGCCTCTTTTTTGGAGTGGAAACCCCCATGTGCTTACAGCTTGGTCCCTACAAGCTGTGTCCCCTGCTGGTACACATCCGCCACGGCATCGGCATAAGCCTGCCGACGCATCCCCCTTGGAAAAACAAACTCAGGAGAAGAGGGAGCTTCATGGCTTTAGATTTCTTCCAAAAGTTGCTCGACAGCTCTAAGCAGGCCTGCTCGAAACGGCTGACCAGGCTCTGCAGGTCGCCAGCAGGCATCCGGGGGTCGGTCTTCGTGTCAAGGTTGAACCATTGCTGAAAGATGCCTTGTCGCAAGGTGCCAGACACAAAAGCTGGTCGAACCGTTCTCAAATCAGTGAAAGCCAAGGCTCCGGAGGAGTAACGCTCGGCCAGGCGCTCCACGGGAACCCTGGACCAGTTCCATGCGGTCATCGAGACGGGAAGACGTGACTACCGTGACTGCTGATGCACTCGGCTGGAAGCATGCGTCCTCAGCAATCCAAGGCAGCGGGCAGTCTCTGGCGTGAAGACCTGTCATGGAGGCGCTAACGCATGATGGGTCTTGCCTCTACCCTGGCCCAGTCTGGCAACTGCAAATATACAGCACAGCAAAGTTGGAAGAGCTGTGGCTCGAGAACTTGTTTGAAACTGGCAGGCTGGCAGGCTCTGGGCACTCATAGACTGTGAAGCTTAGCACCGTGGTGATTCCGACCTGAGAATAGTAAACAGAGCATGAGATGCAGAAGCCTGTGCTCTTTCGCTCGCTGTACTGACTGCGCATGCCCCATCAAAAGTACAATCCAACAGACAGTTTGCACCTCGACGCTCAGAGTCTGAGATCGGCCAATCACCTTCACCATACGGACCGTAGTTCCAGTTGTCGGAAAAGGTCTGAATGTTGCAGGCTCTAGCCAAGACCATCCTGCCTTCGTTGCGGCTCCGCCACTGCTCACATTGCAGAAGTAGTACATATCCTGCTCAGCCAGGCCCGGGTCGCAGCTATGCATGAGCAAACGTGAGTGGGGTAAGGGCAAGTGGGGTTGGAAGAACCTCAGAATCAACTTGTTTTGTTGCCATGTGGCCAGACGCTCTCAAACTTAATGGTGTCAGCGAACAGCAACTATCCACCATTGCGCCTTTTCACAGCTCGAATCACAGAAGGCTGTCTTACCCTGTCAGCGAGCAAAGGCCAACATCGAGGCGGAGGCTTGCGCTATTTGATCACTCAAGCTTGACTCGCTTTCTCCGGTTGTCCAGATTCGAGGCATCACAGAACTCTTCCACAAGGGGCACTAGCTCCAAGAAGCCGCTCTGCAAAGCAACTTGCAAGGCAGATTCACCGTGATGATTGGTTGCAGCTAGGTCAGCGCGAGCGGCAAGTAACAAGCGTGCCGTTTCCAAACTGCCACAGGTGCAAGCAGCCAGTAGTGGAGATGTTCCCGCACGGTCTGCTTTGTTAGTGTCAGCCGCCGCTTCCAACAGCAAACAAGCTACATGGCTGTGCCCGTTCATAGACGCCGCTAGCAAAGGAGATCGTCCCACGCTGTCAACCTGGCCCAGACCTGCACGGTTACGTATCAACAGTGACACCAGGGAGTTGTGCCCGATCTCTGCAGCAGCTAGCAGAGGTGTGATGCCCCTGGCGCTTGCCCCATCCTTCTGTGCACCAGCAGACAGCATGACCTCAGCAACATCAACGTGCCCGTTCTCGCAAGCAGCCAACAAAGGCGTCGTGCCTGCACTGCTGCCTCGCTCCATGTCCACGCCAGATGCCAGCAACAACTTCACGACCTCTGTGTGCCCGTTCTCACATGCAGCAAGCAAAGGCGACGCGTCGTCAGAGGTGTCCACCCCGTCAGCCGACGCTCTTGCCTTAAGCAGTAGCTGCGCAACCTTCGGGTGCCCATTTTGACATGCGAGGAGAAGAGGCGATTGGCCCCACTCACCAGCCCTGTCATGCCTGGCACCCTTTTGGATCAAGAAAGAAACTATTTGCAAGAAGCCGCGTGCAGAAGCCACGAGCAAGGATGATCGCGCGGCTGTGCCAGGATGAGCAGCTTTATCAACGTCCGCATCTGCATCTAACAAGAGCTCAACCATCTCCAAGTTGCCCATCTCGCTGGCAAGTAGTAGTGAAAAGTCTCCATTCTTGCTGGTACTATCCGGGTTCGCCTGAGCTGCAACTAGCAATCTTGCAATGGCCAGCTCATTGTTCTTGCAAGCACCCAAGAGGGGTGTCTTGCCATCTCTATCAGGGGCATTCACACCTGCACGGGCTTCGATCAAGAGGCTGACCAACTCTAGCAGGCCAACCGCTCGGTCTTTTTGCGCGCCCGCCTCCAAGAGACAACGAGCGACCTCGACGTGACCCCCACTGGAAGCCATGAACAAGGCGGTCGCCTTGTCCCAGAAAGTAGTTTGGTCTGGGTCCAGTGGGGTGCTGAGTAAAGTTTCCAGAGTGTCTGTCAGTCCTGTTGCGGCAGCCACCCTAAGTTCTCCAGCTTGGGCGACTTGCAAAGGGAGAATGAGCAGTTGAAGGCTCTTGTACTTCAGTTCGGAAAGGTCTGTGCTGTCGGACAGTGCGCGACCTTCCAGCACGATTTGTTGCTGAAACCGGGTGCCACCTGCCATTTTGCTCAAGTGCGTCTTCATGACCTTTAGCATTGGGCCATCGTGAAGGACGATGTCGTCGACCTCCTTCGCACTGAAGACAAACTCTTCACCTGATAGCTTGTTGAAAGCAATCATCCTTTGAGCTTCACGGCTTCCAACAAGATGGTCTTCCGCACAGGGCCAGTGCCAGCTTCCTGCTTATCAATTGCAAAGTGCACACCTTGCTTACCTGTAGGATCCTGCTAACCACTCTTCTCATTCACGTTGCTCGGTAACACAGACCCCGGACAAAGATTGCCAATCTAAATGACCCTGCGAAGACACGCTGTGTGGCTCATTTGGGCTGTGAGCCCGTCATCAAGACCTGACACTGCTCCTTGAAAACCTTTAGCCTCCACATGGCTGCACCTTACATCCATTTGGATAAAACCCCACGAAGCATGGAGAGTTCCTTGCCTGGGCCTTCGGGTTGTGCACGTCGACCATGGTGCAGAGCACTGGAATCGTGTCAGTTGCGAGTGTATTTCCCATGGCGACCTGCCGCTCACCGGCAGCACGATTCTGAAATCCTGCCTACAAATCGCATCCGTGAACCCCACACGTGAAACATCGAAAAAAAGAAGAAAAAAAAATCACCAACCCGATGATCCTGAAATGCTTAGCAAAAGAAGTGTGATGATCTCCCGCAAACACACTGAGTCGCTACAACTGCTGCTGCGCAGTCGCATCGTGCACCAACAAACGATTATGAACCTCATGGAGAGGCTTTTGCTCACTGCTGGTGCCCTTCCCACTATGGAAATTGTTGAGTGGTTCTGGAAGATCATTGCTACGATGGCTTGCATCCACCCGGAAATGCTTGTTTTGATAAGGCAATCCTACTACCTAATTACGATCCTAAACCCTAAACCCTAACGAATCCAAGAAGCTGATCGTCCTGAGCTGCAAGGGCAATGGAATGTCTTAAAAAGTGGAGGAGACAAGGCACAATCTACCAGGGTTCCGAACCGCTCACTGCAGGCAAAGCGCACTTTATGAATGGGAACGTGGCTGCACAGACTTGTGCCTTGAGCCAAGCACCCTCGGTGCCGCCCGGATGCAACCAACCCCGCCTCATGCAATCAAAAAGTTGCACAGCCCATCATATATGAGAAATGACACTATGAAACCGCCCGCGTCATTTCCACTTGGGACGTTTCCGGGCAGTTAACCATGGTCTCCGATCGAAGCAGGCCGGACGAGCTGTTCGCATCAGAAACAATACGAGTGCAACCTGAGAGAACAGGAATGTTTGCAGCAGCAAGAGGAAGGGCAGCCATGGCTGGAACGAAGCTTGTTTCCCCGCACGGCTTTCCTCTTGCACTTGTATCTAGCTCTAAGCAAATTACTAAAATCGATGCTGACGTCCTCACAACCCGATTGTCGGGCCTATGCCAAGGTGCAGCAAAAACCGGACAGGGCGTGCCCAAGTATACAACGCCCGGCTCGTGAAAACTAGTTTGTACAGAATGAACAGGCACACGCCGGCTCCGCTCCTGAATGGAGCGAGGCAGATCCTCTGCCCTCATACTGCGTGCTTTTGGCCGATGTGCACAGATGAATTACCTATGTGCGAAGAATGCAGAAATTAATTCCCCTAAACATGCCAACGTCTTCACAGTAGCTAGCTGCTTCACCCACGGTGAACCTGATCAACATCACACCAGAGGATGCGCAGATATCATAATGTGACGATAGTTTCCCGCTGCCCTCGTGGCCAGCTTGCCTGAAGCTCGAACTCATTGTCCAATTTTGGCATGAGCTCCTGCCAAGATGGAAGCATTACGTCAAAGTCCCGTGCACCAAACCACCTGCCTCGTTAACACGGCTGCCTCTCAGAGAACTCAGCACCTCACCATTACAACCGAATCAAGACTGTCAGTCCTTACACCCCAAGGTCATTGCAGGACTATCTCACTCAACGCATTTCAGGAGCGGCGCCATATTCTGGAAGCGATGCACGGTCCAATCATACTTCGGAAGAAACTCACCATGGGTTCCTGACAGCGCGGTACCGACAGATACCAAAAGCACTTGCCAAGACGGCCTCTAATTGGTGCACGGAAATGCATATCACTGGCCGTCCTTTCGCACCGAGATTTGACAGGCCAGCCTGCAAATTCTCAACGGCGATAATATCCTGGTACGTACACACAGACCGCTTGTGACTTCACGCGCTTCTTTTAGACCTGGAAGCAGCTACAGAGTAACGTTCAAGCAACCACGTGCCCCAAAAAAAACGCTTGGCAGATCTCCTCATCGTTGACCTCGACCCAAAAGTCTCTCAAGGCATTGCAACGTTCCAAATGCCTGAAACAAGGGCAAAGGCTATGCAGCTTGGAGCTTGCAGGAGTGCAGATGAGGCCCAAGCTCATCTTGTGATATGCCCTCCTTACGAGCATTCGGAGCCATAAGGAGGGTCAGCGCCTCCTGGCAACGGACATCAAAGGCACCCGAGCTGGTACTCTACAAATCCTGGGAAGTGTTCTCCTGGCTCTTGCCTGGCGTTGAGGTGGGGAAGGTCATGAGAGTCCACACCTGGCAAACCCAAGAATACAACAAAGGGGTACTTTCAACCAAGCATCCCGTGGTCCAGGGTGCCCGCTGAGTGTGGGAAAATGCTCACCTCCGGATGGCAGGGAAGTGCATCCGAAGCTGGTTCAGAGCCTTGCACACCCTGGCGTTTGCCGAGGTTGCCACGGACACATTCGGGAAGATATGGAAGAAAAGGCCGGCTTTCAACCTCATAGCCAGGTTCAACCGCCTTGTTCGACTTGACAGAGAGGTAATACATAGGGGTTATGTAAGGGTTATAGGGTATATATTGGGGGGTCTATAGGGATAATGGAAAAGAAAATGGAAACTACTACATCATAATAGGGTAAGTCCCTGGCTCTGTTGGTCGAAGCCTTCCAAAACTGTTGAATCTGTCGCTGTCCTTGGCCAGGCTTACACTGGAACCCAGGTGTACAGGAAGGACCCAGATGCAGCAGGCCAAAATATGTGGCAACACCCAGAAAAACCCTAAACCCTAAACCCCTAAACCCTAAACCCTAAACCCTCCTAAGGCTTCTAAAGAAGAGACACCTTCCAGACATCTCCGCAAAAGTCATGAAGTTGCGGCTTGGACCACTGGACCCTGCTTCGACTCCAGAAGCTGCAGTATACATAGTCTAGTTGGGGTCATGGCAATAATAATAGTAATACCAATACTAATATGAAAAGTACTAGTAATAGTAAATGTAACAACAATGTATTAAGGCTTCGTCCCCAGGTCCACCACAGTCCGTGAGCGGTGACGTCACGAAGCCAACATATTGACCATGGCCTGCTTTGGTAATCATGAAGGGGTTTAGGGTTTAGGGTTTAGGAGAGTTTCTGAAAAGAAAAAAGGAAGGATACCCTGGAAAAAATCTATGGATGTGTGGGGAAGTTTTCTGAAGCTCTGCGGGTCCCTGCTAAGGTTTCTTCGGAGGCTACTTGGAGGTTTCCAAAAATCATGGTCCCTTCAGGGAAGTCCCTATCATGAAGGCTACGGACATTGCGCCCTATTTGGGGACCCTTCTTTACGGAAACTAGCATTTCGAAACACTCCCAAGTCAGCATTGCAAGCAGTTCGCCGAGTCTGAAGGCCGGCCTTGGTATGGCACATGGTCATCCACACGGGAGAACCTGGCAACTGAATTGAGTATAATGGGTGTTTTGGGAGGGTAGAAAATGGGCACATAAAAAGTGCAGACTAGGTCAAACATGGGTGAGTCATAGGTACTCGGCATGGGTGGGGCCTTCGCAAAGGGCTACTCTAAAGGATCCTTGCTGGGACAGGTCTAGAAGGCTCTATGGGGATTTGCCAAAATTAGGTGTACCTTTTTGGTGGATGATAGGGGATGTTTATGTAGGATTTAGGGTTTAGGGTTGGGGGTTTTCCAAAGTTAGGGACATGGAAGTTTCCCAACATGATCCCTGTATTCAATAAGCAGCCTTATAAACTGCTTGTCATAATCCCTAAACCCTACACCCTAAACCCTAAACCCTAAACCGCTCAACCCTAAACCCCCAAACCCTTATCGCCACACCTTAATCTGTGCCTGGCCAAGGCTGGATGCACGGCGTCAACATGATAGAAGTCAATGAAATTCTCCGCGATCAGCTTCCAGTCACCTTCCAGGCTCCAGGTTGCAGTATATATCTATATATATATATATACATCTTAGGGGTTATATTGGGATAGTGGAAAATGAAATGGAAACTACAGGGATTATAGGGATCATAGTATTTGGGTGGTTATCCAAATTATGGCTCCTTTTTGGGTACCCTAAATATTAGGTGCCGTATTATAACAGGGATCCAAGAAGGGACCATAATTTTGACAACCACTCATATATATATATATATACATTGTAGGGTACCCATTGGGATGATATTACCCCAAGAATAGTGGAAAAGAAAATGGAAACTATTGTAATGGTTATATATGTATGTTTCTAACCCCATTGTAATACGGTTGATGGAGGAAATCTTGCACCACCTGAAGTCCTAGAATCCCTAGGAATTAAAGTAGTTTAGGACCCCTAGGTGGTGCAAGATTTCCTCCATCAACAGTAGTTTCCATTTCCTTTTCCATTATCCCAGGATAACCTTGATATATACCCTATTATACTATAATAGTTTCCATTTTCTTTTCCATTATTATTGGGGTAATATGATCCCAATGGGTACCCTACAATGATCAGAAGAACGTTAATGAATATCAACGTTCAGAGTAACAGGGACAAGTAAGAGGAGCGATAGTAGCAGCGGCGGCAGGATCACTTGAAGATTACTCAAGTTGACGCATGGAAGGTGGCCTTTGATGTCGTAGAGCTGGCGATCAAATATCTCCATTTCATCCTGGCAAGGGCAAAGGTCTTTGCTGAACAGCACTTGCTCGGCTAAGGTTTGCGGTGGTATGGTCGAGGCGTGAGATGTAGTCCTGTACAGGAGCTGTAAGAATTTTAACATGCAGCGTCCTACTCCCACAACCAGCCCCCCTTTCAAACCACAGGTAGGAATCCTGGGGGCCATGAAAGCCCAGCAACTACAACCCCTGCAAGTAGAAAGCCAACCTGCGTGAAACTTTCTGGAAGCCCCCTGGCCATTCAAAAAAAGGCAAGCCGGTCCATGTCGTAGCGTTGCAGCTTCTCCGGAAGATCTCCCAGGGACTCACGCAGAGGAGCGTGGGTCGGGCTCTGGTTGAGGAAGATCATGCCTTTCAAGCCACACCATCACCACAAAGGTGAGTGTTAGTCGGTTACTCAAAAGTTTGGGCTTCCGGTCCCTCTGAATAATTCCTTGAGTAGAGAATCCTTACAGTAGGCATCTCGAAACAAGGACCCAAGAATTTGAGGAGCTCCGCCAGCAGAATCATGGTCCCCCAGAATCCCTAGCTATGAAGTCTGCTGATACTGCCATCGCTCTACGATCCGCATCGCCCAGGCAGTGCAGATATGCACAGGCAATTCTCAAGGGCAGTGCCTCTGTGCAAAGTGTACTAGACCGCTAGGATCTGTCCTCCCTTCTGAACTCAGCTTGTGGACCTTCGAAGCAGGACTCCTAGAAACTGAAGGCCTGCAAAAGTGTCCACGCCAGGAACGCGAAGCAGGCCTAACTCCTCCTAGCGCTCCTTTTCCGGAAGTCTCTCAAATGCGTGTCGGTGATTAACAGCCGGACTGCGCAGCCTACTCCACTGAGCAACTGAGTTCACACGGACAAATCTACCAGGATGCGACGTGCTGAGTAGAGTGGTCCATGAACTGCCCACAGTCCTTGGGAACTGCTGCAGGTGGGGTCGACTTGAGCGTGCCATCCAATCTGTACGCCCACCAATGGTATGGACAGACCTTTCAACGGACAAGAGCTGAAGACAAGCAGCATGTCACAAAGAGCAGGGGCACAGGCCAGCTGCATGCAGCCTGACGCACTTGCAGAGCAAACGCGAGCACCACGATGACGACACCTGGAATGTCTCATACTGAAGATGCTGCAAACAAGGCAGCGTCAGAAGCAGCCATCTCTTTTGCCTGTGAAATGGCAGATGCTGACCGAGGGGTATCTGCGAGTCTTCTGGACCAGAGACAAGCTACAGCTGATCTAGTTGAAAATGAGGCCAAGACGTGTTGTAGAATGCATGAAGCTTGTGGTGCTTGTCCCGAGTCAAAATGATGGATGTTGACCCAACCTGGATGAGCACATCATCATCACATGAGGCATGCCTTCAATAGGGTTTAGGGTAATGGGTTCAGTGTATATGGCTCAGAGATTGGGGTCAGTACATTCAGCAACATATAGGAATCATCGTTCACACCCTCTACGCCAGCTTGATGAAGAACATCTCGCTTGTGGTAAGCCTCGATGACCTTCACATCGCCGGGTCTGGAGAGCTCGTGCACATGGGCTGCCGCAAACCTTAGCTCTACTTAGGGCCTCACCAGCGCACACAAACTGGATTTGTGGTGCGAGCCTTACTTTGCAATCAGGATGCCAATTCATTCCAAAGATACGCTCCTTTTCCAGCTCGGCCTTATGAGGGCAGAGTGAGCTCTTCACATGTGGGTGTTTTCCCAAATTAGGGGTACAATTTTGGGGGTCCCCACAATAAGGATTATACTAAATTGGGATCTACATTGGGGTCCCGCTATTATGGGAAACTACCATGTGATGTTCAAGCCGTTCCAGAACACCTTGACATTCATCACAGCTCTCCTTGCTCAGCCCTGCGCGTATGAATGGTCGGTGTAGAAAGCTGGGTGCAAGACCTGCTATTGCTACACTGGAAGCTAGGACAGCTAAAGATAATGGGTCTATAGCGGCATATAGGGATACGTAGGGGTGTGTATATAGAAAGAATGGAATATCGAATGGAAAGGACGGTGGAAAATGAAATGGCAACTGGATTTGCACAGGGCCTATATAAGCCCACTGTCCATTTCATGTTCCATTGTCTTTTCCATTTGATTCTCCATTATTGAGGTAATATCCCTACATAATTACTATGTCTCCCTTTCAAGCGACCCAAGGTTTGTTTAATTCTCCATTCTCTTTTGCATATAGTTCTCCATTATCGGGTCTTTTTTCTCAGCCATTGCCGACCTTGGCTTCCTGGATGGGCCGCGCGGTTGGACGCGCCAACTCCTACAAGAGACCCAGAGCTTGGGAAATGGATAAATTTATGTATATTATGATATGTTATGTACGGGTCATAGGGTACATATTAGCGTTATGTGGGGATAATGAAAAATGAAATGCAAACTACTATCGTATGTTGGGGCTATATGGGGACCTGTACTGCAATAGGAAGCCCAGTTTATAGGAACCAGTATTATAGTGCATTTAGGGAAATGCACCTTTGAGGAAGTTGGTGCCACGGAAGGTACACGTAAAGGAGTTATGTGGCGCACCTCCAGCTGCTGCGGCAGCAGCAAGCTTGGGTCTCCTGCTCACTTCTATATACTAATAACAATATGGTAATAGCATTGATACAATTGTTTACTTCGAGCATCCCCACCCTAGAAACGTTATTGCACGAGAAATGTAATGTTTCCATGCGCCCCCAAATTGTCTTCTTTTTTGCAGCACTGCAGCTGCGCTGCAAAACTATTGCAGTTTTAGTACTG